GGTGGGGGGGTCCGCGGGGTCTCCCTGGGGGGGGGGGGGGTGGATGAGCAGCTGGAGAGACCCTGATTGGCATGCAGTGTTTGGAAGACAAGTGAAGTGAAAACCTAGCAGTGAGGTCAAGTGTTGCTTTATCCCAGAAAAGGGAGGAAAGTTTCTTTTAAAGTGGATACTTGCGCCTTTTGTTATAGTTTGCACTGGTGGACCAGATGTGGCTATAAGGGGTAATGAGGAGACCATGAAGTGACAGGGAGGCACAGTAGTTAGCCCTGACAGGGAAGGGATATGAGGAACAGAGGACCAATAGCCTAAACCAGAGAGAAGTCCAAGGAGGAAGAAGGCCCAAGGCCAAGAGCGCAAGAGCCCACAGCTCAAGAAGGGTGAATGTAGGTAAACTGCAGGTAGGAGAGCCAAAGCCTGAATCAAGGAAAGGAACAGAGGTGGTCTGAAGCTGAGAAGGTCAACCAGAGCCTGGAAGAGAAAGATTGGGGCTGGGGCCCAGGAGTCAGGGTTCAGGACTGTGGACCTTGGGCTAAGGGACCCAGCTAGAGAAAATGTATCAAAGCCAGAAAGGCTGAAGCCCCAGCTAACTTTGGTGGCCAGAGGGCCAAAAAGTATGACAGGGTAAGAGGTCTTGCTTGAATGATAACTTGTACCATCTGCGAGGCATGGGCATGGTTGTAGAGGAGAGAGGAGGCCATGAACCTAACCCTTAAGGTCAGCAGGGCCTGGGGAAACGAGCAATAAGGACAAGGAGGACACAGAGAGAACCCCAGAAGACTTGCCAACCCCAGGTGGGCAGCCTCCCCTCATTAATTTTTCTATACCAACAAGGCATGGCAAGAAAGTGAATGGGTTGCAATCCAGGGAGACTTGAATGGGGCCAAAAAAGACAGAGGGGGCCACAAGGTGGCATCACAGAAGTCCTCAGGCACTGTCTTGTCACATTATATTATAGTCTTTCCTTAGGAACTTTGCCCAATTTAGTTCACAGGAAGGACCTGACAGGGGAGGAATCAAACTTGTACACTGAAGAAGACTATTGATCCTACCAATTTTGCTGAAGAGGCTGGAAGTTATGCAGTGACTGAGGCAATATGAGGAAGAATCGTCCCATGATTAAGGAAATCAAATTCTGAACAGGAGGCATTTGATTCTAGCCATCCCTCTGCCACAGAGTCCCTAAGTTATGCTATGCACAGCTCACCTAAATTATTCTTTTCACAGAGGGTCACCTTAACTGTGTGTTCTTTATTTTCTAGATAGGCAGTTTAAGACTAGCATCTAAACTGCAGATGTGTGGGCACTTTCGATTTTGCTCTCTCTGCCTCAGTTCCCCATCTGTAAAATAGTAGTGATATCACTCCCTCGCCTGACAGTGGTGTTGTGAGAAAAACCTACTGATTTTTGAAGTCCTCTGGGAGTATAGTGATCAGCACCATAGTAAAATCCTATAAGGAATTTTGTAATTCTGTCTTCAGTGGCATGTTTGCATACTGGCAATAAAATGGGGCCTAGTGCCACATACTGTATAATATAAGAAAAAGCAACATATGGCATGGCTGTTCAATAAGTGAGCACAATTCATCCTGTACACTATAGGATAATACTGATACCTAAGTGGAGTTTAGTCACAATGGAAATCTATTGTACCGTCTCTGAGGAGAAAGTGTATGGGTTTGGTATTTATTCCAAAAAGTCAGTGGTAGCCACTCACCTCTCCTATTGTTACTTTTTCTTGTATGGGAAGTGAATTCAGGGGTAGGGTCAGAAACTCGTTTTCATTCCTTTCCCCTTGATTTGATGATGACTGAAAAAATATTAAAATAGAGGATTATTTTAATATGACAAAGAGAAAATCATCAAAACAATCCTTGCCACGCATACTTCCAAGTCCTCAAACCAAGATCAACTGAAAAAACTGTACACATGTTGACTTCTGAGTTCATAAATGCCAGTAGTGACGTACCCTGCTGAGCTGCCTCCTCTGTGGTATTGTTACATTTAAGTCTGAGTGGTTATACTTTATATAGTGGAATCTTGCAGGAGTAGCAGGGAAAAGCCAAGAGTTCAGTGAAAGGTTCTGGGCTCCTTCATAAGATCCTTCCAACATAAATGCAAATTTTCTATCTGAAGGGGTGACAAGACAAACACAGAACCTTATGGTTACCATCACATCCTTACACAACCAAATAAAAACAGGACTTTGGCATTCATAACATAGATGTTATTTTAAAATTGAATAATGCAACAAATTCTAAACAGGATCACATAACCTAAATATTCTGAATCCTTAATAAGCTTTGAATAGCAGGTCAGTCCTATGACAACCTGAACATCATCCATCCCTACTGGAACAAATGGGATTTGAGAGATCTTGGAACCTGTTATAATAGGATCAAAAGTAGTTTATGCTCTGGGATATGTAAGATGATATGCTATACCATGTGCCAAGTATCCAAGTAGACTTACAGATCTAAGTGTGATTCTGTTTCACCCTACTGGAGTCCATGAAAATCAGTAATAAAAAAGGAAGGTAGGTCCTTCTTCTCCCTGTTTTTGTGTAGCTCAGTCTTAACAGTAAGATGGCAGTGGGTTACAAAAGTAGAAGCACTAGTGAATGTTCAAGACTTGAACAGGTTGGAACGTCACAGTTAGACACCTAGTCTACTTAGATACCTAATAGGTGGAATTAATTTGCTTAAATATTACACACTATTACAGCAATGCATTTGTGCTGTGTCTCACCCACATTTTGACAGCTAAAGATCTTGGATCTAAAATGAGTTACATACATTTATCTATATCTCTTAGCATCAGTTCTGGGTCCTCTGCAAACTTTGGAATTATATTTTAGTGATCTGTCCTGTAATTCCTGCTAGGAATGTTAAACCATAGCAAGTATTTCATTTTAATTGTGAAATAA